GATAAAATGTCTTGGTTGTACCTGTTAGTGGTTTAGCTTTGTATTTAAAAAAAAAAAAGGAAATAACTTGAAAATTATTTGTCATCATAAAAATGAAACAAAAATTAAAATATTTATTGCCAGGCGAGGCCACCTGTGTGTCTTGTTTTGTTTTTTTCCCCACAAGGCTCAGATAGAAGATTGGATTTTCTGCTTTGTTTCACAAAAGGTACCCAGCAGGGGCAGCCGGCTAGCTCCATAGTGCACAACTCTTGATCTCGGGGTTGTGGGTTCACGCCCATGTTGGGTGCAGAGATTACTTAAAGATAAAATCTTTTTTTAACAAAGGGGTTACACAGCAGTATGTGTATTTTGGTGAATGTCTTCCTAGTGGACAGACACCTCATTTGTGCATTGGGGTCATACGTGCGGGAGAGGATTAAAAGCTAACGGGTGTCAAGTCCTCCCTTAGAACAATACCTGGCACGTAGTGAAGCTTAGATTTTAGCCTCTTTTGTTGCCACTGTTTCTGATGTAGATTGGTTCTCAGGTAGGAATCTGTCTTGTGTGGGAAGCCCCTCCTGCCGGTCCAGATCTCTGTCCCTAACTCACAAACCCCACCAGCCACCCTGGTTCACTCCCTCTGCTCCGGGCACTTAGGGCAGATGGGGACACTGGTTGGGGTCCTTGGTTGACAAGCAAAAGATCTAGCACCAGCACTGGCTTTAAGCGTCTGTCAGCCTGTTCACCTTGCACAAATCCCTTTCCTTCTCCAAACCTTGACCATCAAACAAGGAACAGCCTCTGCCCTGCTGACATGCAGGCATGTCCTGAGGATTTATGGATTACTACATCTTCACCTTGGAGGGAAGAGGGTGGCCCAGTGGCGGAGTGCACTCAGCTTTCTGGCTGTCCTGTCAGCCCTGTGACCTGGGACAGGTGACAGCTCTGTGTGCGCCACTTCCCTCCTAGGCAACATGGAGCAGTACTGGTTTGTGTATGCGGGTGATTGTGTCACAGGAGTTACTGCAGGCCTTGCACACACATAATCCTCAGTCACGGATGTTTGCTGTCATGATGGAAGTTTGCTGCATTGTTTCAGGGCGCCTGCATGGCTCAGTTGGTTAAGCCTCTGATTTGATTTCAGCTCAGGTCATGATCTCAGGGTCCGTCCTGAGTTCAAGCTAGTGTTGGGCTTTGTGCTCAGCAGGGGGGCATGTGCTTCTCCCTCTGTTCTCCCCCCCCCCTTCTGCTCATCCTCTCTCTCTCTCAAGATCTTAAAAAAAACAACAAAACTTCGCATTGTTTCTACCATTCCCTTTTTTGTTTTGTTTTGTTTTTTTGTTTTTTACTTTTTTTACCATTCCCTTTTTACAAGTGCCTGGAGGCTGATAGCTAAGAGCCTCCAAACTCTGATATTTTGTTGCTGTATTTACTTTTTCATTTTTTTTATTTTATTATTTTTTAAGATTTTATTTATTTATTCATGAGAGACACAGGGCAAGAGAGAGGCAGAGACACAGAGGGAGTAGCAGGCTCCATGCAGGGAGCCCAACGTGGTGATACCGGGTCTCCAGGATCACACCCTGGGCTGAAGGCGGCGCTAAAACATGAGCCACCGGGGCTGCCCTACTTTTTCATTTTTTTTTTAATTTTTATTTATTTATGATTGTCACACACAGAGAGAGAGAGGAAGAGACACAGGCAGATGGAGAAGCAGGCTCCACACACCGGGAGCCCGACATGGGACTCGATCCCAGGTCTCCAGGATCGCACCCTGGGCCAAAGGCAGGCGCCAAACCGCTGCGCCACCCAGGGATCCCTACTTTTTCATTTTTTAAAAAGATTTTATTTATTTATTCATGAGAGACAGAGGGAGAGGCAGGCTCCCTGCAGGAAGCCTGATGCAGGACTTGATCCCAGGACCACACCCTGAGCTGAAGGCAGGCGCCAAACCGCTGAGCCACCCAGGCGTCCCTATTTCATTTTTTAAAGATGATCGCTACATCAACCACTTGTGCCTAGTGAAGCCTGGCTTGGAGACCCATTGCTCAGTGGGTTCCTCCCGGTGCTGGGTTTGCCGAAGGAAGCCCGCAGTGTGGGAGCAGCTTTAAGCAGTTTCAGTGATCACACTGGACCCCAGCTCCAGGAGAAATGCTTCTGGGACATATCTTCTGGAACTCTCACACCCTACTGTCTGATTTTACCAAGAGTTGGTAAAGTTAAAAAAAAAAAAAGAAAAAGAAAAAAAAAGTTGGTAAAATCTGAGCATTCTTTACTGTCAATTTTTTAGTCTCTCCCAGGAAACATAGGAACCAGGGCTGTTTTACCTTGACATTTCTCTCTGTTTTTTTTTTTTTTTTTTTTTGCCTTATCTATCCCACGAGGGAGAAAGAGGCAGCTGAGCGTTTATACAGGGGAACCCCCAGTCTGGAAATCAGGTGATACATGTAAATGGCTTACAGGCAGCAACACACAATGATCTTCTGTTTGCTTCTAAACTTTCTGGCTGTCCTGTCAGCCTGGAGATGGGAAACTGAAGCAAGAATGGCTCAGGTGCAGGGAAGTGGACTGCCAGAGTTGGGACTTCAGGATGGAAGGCTGGTACCTTGGAGGATGGACTGTAAGTGTCATGCCCAGGAGCTGAGTCTGCTGTGCAGTCCTGTAAAAGAGACAGCACTCTCCCCGTCACACACACACACACACTTGTGTGGTCTCCCTACCCGTGTGCAGTCTCTGCACAGCGTCTGCAAGGGCTTCGAAGGCAGGATGTATAGATTCGTTTTCCCAGCCAGCTCTCACCTCCAAGGTACAACAAGCTTTCCCCTCCCTCTCCCCTGTTAAGAGCGGAGCACCCTGTGAGGACTGCAGCATCATCTGGGGTTAGGAATCAGGAGCCCTTGATCTAAGGAAGACTCTGCCAACATGGCATTCTGGAGCTGCCTCAGTGCAGCAGCATTTCTGGGCAGGCAGCGTGGGTGAAGCCTGGGCTGTGGAGTTTACATCTGGGTTCAGGTCAGACTTCTACCACTTTTGAGCTGGGGCCCTGGACGAGATCCTCAGCCCCCCTGTGCTGGGTGTGCCACAGGGATGGTAATACCCATCCCACAGAGGTACAGAGAGGCAGTATGCAGAGGGTCTTCCGAGGGGTACAGTCAAGACATACACACCTTCATTATTAACATTAGTGCTTTTTGGAGAAGAGGGGCACATTTCACTTTGCAGGTAGGATCCCAGGCCTTAGAATCAGGCCCACGTGTGCATCTTGGGCAGCCACGTGACGTGTGTAGGGTACTTTCACCTTTTGGAGTTTGACTTTCCAAATCTGTAAACTGAGGTGTTAGTGCCAGTCCCCACCTCCCCGAGGTGTTACAGGAATAAACGAGGTAAGCCGTGCAGCAGGTGGAACATACAGTGAGCCAGGGTCGTTCACCAGGGCGACCGGCTCATAGGACATGTTCAGCAGGCCCGTTAGTTTCTTTGCAAAGTCAGCCAGCCAGCCGTTCTCTACGAACTGTATTTCACTGAATCCTAAATGCATTCCCCCCCACCCCCGGCACACACATTTTAACATCTTTGAAATCAGGATGAGCCTTAAAATCAATAGCATCTTAATGTTATAATTTGTCCTGTTTCTTTAGCACCATGTCTGCCTTTTTCTCCACTGTATATTCTTGCCTCCTTTGTCATAGATCAATTGACCATATAAGTGTAGGTTTATTTCTGGACTCTCTATTCTGTTCTATTGATCTATGTGTCTATTTTGGTGCCAGTATCAGACTGTTCTGATTACTGCAGCTTGGTGGTATATCTTGAAATCTAGGTTTGTAAGACCTCTAGCTTTCTTGTTCTTTCCCAAGATGCTTTGGTTATTTGGCGGGGTGGGGGGGGGGCACCTGGGTGGTGCAGTTGGTTGAGCATCTGACTCTTTGGTTTCAGCTCAGGTCTTGATCTCCGGATTGTGGGATAGAGGCCCATGTCGGGCTCCGTGTTCAGTGAAGTGTCTGCTCATGATTCTCTCCCTCTCCTTCTGCCCCTCCCCACCATGTTTACTCTCTTTCTCTTCCTTTCTCCTTCACTAAGATACATAAATAAATATTTAAAAAAATAAAAAAGATGTTTTGGTTAGTTGGGAACTTTTTTTTTTAATTGGGAACTTTTATATATAAAAAAAGAAAAAATAAAATAAAAAAAGAATAATAGGGGCACCTGGGTGGCTCAGTAGATTAAGCATCTCACTCTTGATTTTGTTTTTTGTTGTTTTGTTTTTTAAATATTTATTTACTTGGGATCCCTGGGTGGCGCAGCGGTTTGGCGCCTGCCTTTGGCCCAGGGCGCGATCCTGGAGACCCGGGATCGAATCCCACATCGGGCTCCCAGTGCATGGAGCCTGCTTCTCCCTCTGCCTGTGTCTCTGCCTCTCTCTCTCTCTCTCTCTGTGACTATCATAAATAAATAAATTTTAAAAAAATATTTATTTACTTATTAAAGATTTTATTTATCTATTCATGAGACACAGAGAGAGAGGCAGAGACATAGGCAGAGGGAAAAGCAGGCTCCATGCAGGGAGCCCAATGTGGAACTTGATCCCAGGTCTCCAGGATCACGCCCTGGGCCAAAGGCAGATGCTTAACCACTGAACCACCCAGGCATCCCTGATTTTGGCTCAGGTCATGATCTCAGGGTTGTGGGATCGAGCCTTGCATCAGGCTCCATGCTTAGTGGGGAGACTGCTTGAGATTCTCCCTCTGCCCTTCCCCTTGCTCATGTTCTCTCTCTCAAATAAATAAAGATTTTTAAAAATTTGCAGCATTTTTTTCTCTCTCATAGCAACACACAAAACACTGGTGTATCACTTAGAGTCGCTGAAATATATATGCCGCATATATGCATCACCACATAAATATGCATATAATACATACATACAGTATATACAGATTTGGAAGCCGAGACTCTGAAAGGCTGAAGCACCTTATCCAAAGTCACATAACCCCAGAGACCACTCTAAAAACACTCAGAGAAAGCATAAAAGTCATTTCACTTTAATACAAAGTCATGTAAAGAAAATCATGTTAGCAAAATCATATGTTCCCTAAATATCTGTGAAATCACCACTGGAGTGTCAATGCCATCCTTTCCTGCATTCTCTCCCTCCCCTCTCTGTTTGGGCTCATGAATTTTGCTGTGACTACATGGTAAAGGTCCAGGTCACCTGTGAGACCAGACAAGCAGAACACACATGTGCACACTGGAGACCCCTCCGGGGTGGCTGACGTGGAGCAGGAAGTGGGCCTCGTTTCACTTTCCTTCTAATTTCTTGATTTCTCTCTGCTGCTTCCCTTGCCCTGGCCAAGCCTTCCGGGGTGTCCAGTTCTGCAGCCAGGGGAGAAATGTCCATGAGAGAGCCTCACCTCCTTTCTCCTTGGTGCTTTCAGGGGAAACAAGTGAGTAAATCCAGTGAGTATGTGTGGCACCGAGATGAGTTTGGAAGTCTTGCTGCATTGACTTCTTGAGTCTGAGAACCTCTGTGTGAACCATGGCTTGAGATCTATGTCTACTTCCCTGATCGGAAAGAGAACCTGGGTGTAGAGAGAAAAGGGTCAGGGGGCACAGATTTTTTTTTTTTAAATATTCATGAGACACACACACACACAGAGAGGCAGAGACACAGGCAGAGGGAGAAGCAGGCCCCGTGCAGGGAGCCCGACGTGGGACTTGATCCTGGGTCTCCAGGATCAGGCCCTGGACTAAAGGCGGAGCTAAACTGCTGAGCCACCAGGGCTGCCAGGTCAGGGGGCACAGATAGAACAAAGTTAGGCCTGCAGAACACTGCCGAATCTGTAAGAGGCTCTTGTAGGCCATTGACTCAAACGTTTGCTCTGGGCTCGTTGGGGGCAGGCACCGCTCACGGGCTTTCTATCTATCAGCTCATTTCACACTCATAACACATCGACAAGCTAAGTGCCATCAATACCCCTATTTTATAGACTAGCAAACTGAGGTCCCGCAAGGTTAATTGACAGGCTGAAGGTCACACAGTAAGTTGCGGAATGGAAAGTTGGATCCAGAGCCCCTCATGCACTGTGCTGTGCACAAAGATGGTGTCTGAACCCCGCCCCCCCCCCCGCTTTTTTTTAACTTCAGGAGGTATTATTGTGAAGGAGCATCCCTGTTACCTACAACTATAAAATGGATCTTTGCGATGAATAAAGATTGGCATGTAAATTCTTGGATAAAACCGAGAAATCTCCTGAGACATGAACACCCAATGTTCAGTGTTTCTCCCCATCGTATACAAAGTTTTGAAAAGAGAGAAAGCTATCTGGGGTTGATCACAACGTTCAATCTCAGTGCTAGTTCCAGCTATGAGAAAGTCCCAGAGCTGGCTGGTGGGTTGTAAAGCCAGTGATGGGGACTGGGCTTGTGCTTCTTGTTGAAGACAACTCCCTGCCCCAGCAGAGGGTTGGCAGCTCGGCTGGCAATGGCTGTGGCGGGCCCCTGACTCGTGTTTGTATATAGGCATGAGGGCTCAGCCATCCTCCCATGAACCTCTGCATACTGCCTTCACCCACCAGTTCCCTGTCTCAGGAAGTGACATCATCCCCTGCCTAGTCATTCATGCCAGGAACCCGGGGGTTGTTCTCAGCTCCTCCCCACCATCTGCTACATTTTAGTCATCACACCCCAAATCTGTTCCTAGTCCTAACACTTTTCATTTCCTCCACTGCCACCCCCCAGTCCAAGTCACTGTGATGAGCACAACAGCCTTCCCGCCACCCCTACAATCCACTCACACCATGGCCAGAACGACCGTATCACTACAGAGAGCTACATCATTCCTCAGCTTAAAACCCTCCATGGCTCCCCACTGCCCTCAGGATAAAGAAAATCCTTCTAGCATGACTTGCTTCTTCAGAAGATTGTTCATTCATTCATTCACTCATTCATTCATTCTATTAGCTTAATAAGCTTGTCTGACCATGAAATTATGGCCTTGTGCTCGTTAGACACAAGACCTCAGGCTGGCTTGTGCACAGAACAAACATTTTATTTTTTGCCACATCAAGCCCAAACTCTAAGGGGCCCAAAGAACTCTCCTCGAAGAGGCAGAGAAACCAGTAGCTTACCACTCCTGGAAGCCTTATTTACAATGGGATGCCCAGGCAATAGAAGTGCTGAACAAATGTCTCCAAGTGCCCCACCTGGTGTGGCATAGAGATGCTCTTTCCTTCTTACTTTACCTCAGGAGAACCTTCCTTGTGAAAGAAACACTCCCCCAGGCCATGCTCTGACTTGTCCCCCCACACCTCCTCCACAAAACAGAGGGAGCTTTTACATGTAAATATGGTCATGTCACTCTCCAACCTAAAACCCTCCAGTGTCTTCCCAAAGTGTTCAGAGTGAAACTCAAGGTCTTCACTGGGACCCCCTGCCCCCTGCTTTGACTGATCTCAGGCCTCTTGGCTGTTCCCTCCGCCAGGAATGCTCTTCCCTCAGATCTTTATGATCTTTCAGGGCCCAGCTTGACTGTCACCTCCTCACAGAAGCCTTCCAGGACTTACCCCTGTCAACTTCTCTCTCCGCTGCCTATTTAATGGATAGCTGAAGATGAAGTGTTAATATACTTCCTTACCTGCACACTCTTTGACTCCCCTGCTAGAGTGTAAGCACCATGAAGGCAAGGGCTTCATCTTGTTCACTGCATCCCCAGGACTTAGAACAATGCCTGGCACATGGCAGGCCCCCAGTAAATATTTGTGGGAGGGATGAATTATTTTGGTTTCATGTAGTCTTGTTTGACAGAGCAGTTTTCCATGCAGGCATTCCAGAAAGTCTGGTAACACTTAACTGAACTATGTATGTGCATATTAAGTGGGCTGTGTGCCCCTCAGATTCATCTCATCCTTTCTCTGTCCCCTTGTCTACTCAGGAGAGGCTGAGTTCAGTGGACGAGAGCAGCAAGCCAATGGGAGGTGCCAGAAGGTGCTGGGAAGATAGGGAGGGGAGGTGTATTTATGCCCCAGCTCCTTCCCCACCAGGCCTGGTATTACTAGTTGCTATGTCCTTCTATGGACCCCCACCACCACCACCTCCCTTTGCCTCACAGCTCCCTAGGCCCACACTGCCATGCTGGAGTGCTTCTGTATCCCTTGATGGTTCCCTTAACCCTGCTCACGTGTCTGTAAGATGTTCCTTCTTTAAATCTTTTTATTCACTCCTTTTTTTAATTTTTATTTTTTAAAGAGTTTATTTATTTAAGGGACACCTGGGTGGTTCAGTGGTTGAGCATCTGCTGTCAGGTGTGATCCCTGGGGTCAAGTCCTACATCAGGCTCCCTGCAGGGAGCCTGCTTCTCCCTCTGCCTGTCTTTGCCTCTCTCTGTTTCTCATGAATAAATAAATAAAATCTTTTTAAAAAAAGATTTTATTTATTTATTTACTTATTTGGGGGAGAGAGAGAGAGCATGGCCACAGGGAAGGAGAGGAGGGAGAAAAGAGAAACAGGCTCCCTGCTGAGCAGGGAGCCTGATGAAGGACTTGATCTCAGTATATGTGCTGCCAAAGAGAGCACAGGACTTGATCTCAGGACCTCGAGATCATGACCTGAGCTGAAAGCAGATGCATAATCGACTGAGTTACACATCACTCCTTTTTTTTTAAATTTTTTTTAAAATTTATTTATGATAGTCACACAGAGAGAGAGAGAGAGACAGAGAGGCAGAGACACAGGCAGAGGGAGAAGCAGGCTCCATGCACTGGGAGCCCGACGTAGGATTCGATCCCGGATCCCCAGGATGGCGCCCTGGGCCAAAGGCAGGTGCCAAACCGCTGCGCCAGTTAAGTGTCTGCTTTGGCTCAGGTCATGATCTCAGGGTCCTGCCACCTCAGCCTGAGTTGGGCTCCCTGGTCAGTGGGGAGTTTGCTTCTCCTGCTCCCTCTGCCCCTCCCCCAACTTATGCTCTCTCACTATTTCTTTCCCTCAAATAAATAAATAAAATCTTTAAAAAAAAAAAAAAAAAGAAATCCAGATTTTTTGGCTTCATTGTAGACCTGACTTCTGAGAATCTGAATTTTACTTTATTTTATTTACTTTATTTATTGTTTGGGAATCTGCATTTATTTATTTATTTATTTATTTTAAAGATTTTATTTATTTATTCATGAGAGACACACACAGACCGAGAGAGAGAGAGAGAGAGAGAGAGAGAGAGAGAGAGAGAGAGGCAGAGACACAGGCAGAGGGAGAAACAGGCTCCATGCAGGGAGCCTGACATGGGACTCGATCCTGAGTCTCCAGAATCAGGCCCTGGACTGAAAGTGATGCTTAAACCACTGAGCCACCCAAGCTGCTCTGGGAATCTGAATTTAAACAAGTAACCCCACATTCTCTGGTTTGGGCCTTAGCACCCAAAGAAATGAGGGATTAACAAGGCAGCATAAACACAAGGGGGGTAATCAAAGGAAACTGTTGTGTCCCAATGATGGGAGACATAGGGTCCTCTGAAGTTGGAGGTAAGAGAGGTAATGAATCAGCCCACCCCCATCCTTTAAGTAATCTCCACACTCAGTGAGGGGCTTGAACTCATGACCCCAAGACCAAGAGTCACAAGCTTCTCCAACTGAGCCAGCCAGTTTATGGGACCATAAACTCTAGTAATTATTGTTATTTTTCTTGTTGTTGGAGTAGTAGGTTCAAGTCCTGACTTCACTATTCACTATCTGGGTGACCTCAGGCAAATTACTTTGCCTCTTGGTACCTATTTCTCCACCTATAGAATGGAGATGATGGTAGCTCCTACCTCACAGGGTCACTATGAAAAGCCAATGAATTAATATATGTCAAGTGCTTAGACTGCTGCCTAACAGGGCACCTGGGTGGCTCAGTGGTTGAGTGTCTGCCTTTGGCCCAGGTTGTGATCCTGAGGTCCTGGGATCAAGTCCCACATCGGGCTCCCTGCATGGAGCCTGCTTCTCCTTCTGTCTATGTCTCTCCCTCTTTCTCTATGTCTCTCATGAATAAATAAATAAAATTAAAAAAAAAAAAAGAAGATTGCTGGGATCCCTGGGTGGCTCAGCGGTTTAGTGCCTGTGTTTGGCCCAGGGCGTGGTTCTGGAGTCCCTCTGCTTCTCCCTTTGCCTGTGTCTCTGCCTCTCTCTCTCTGTGTCTCTCATGAATAAATAAATAAAACCTTAAAAGAAGAAGAAGAAGAAGAAGAAGAAGAAGAAGAAGAAGAAGAAGAAGAAGAAGAAGACGACGACGACTGCTGCCCAACAGATCTCATAATAGTCCAGCTCAGATTTTCCTAACAGTGGCAGCATGACCAATCAGGATTGTAGAGCATTCCCACCTTGGGTAGCTAGCCAGCCTCCTTGGGCCTCCACTCCATCCTTCAACAATGATTTAGTGGCAATGGGGCAGCAAGTAACTTACAGCTTCCTTATGATTGTCTTCTCCTCCTTGTTACTGCTGGCATTGCTGGTCCTGGAGACAAGGGTGTCGTTTTGTCTTCTTCCTCCCAGGCCTTCTCTTGGAGGAATCAGACCACTGGGGAAAAGAGAATAAATGGGATGTTTTATTGCAGACCTTCTGTCTGTGAAGCTCTGAAAGTGAAGGGTCTTAATAATCATTATTACATTAATAATATTATCATTGATAGCTAGAGTCAGAGAGATTCTGCTCTTAATAACAAGAATCTCCCCCTGCCACCTTTCCAATATTGATACCTCTTCTTACTTTCTCTTGTCTAACTGCATTGGCTAGTAACCCAAGCTTCTCCACTTTTTAGGAATATGACCATGTTTCAATTCTCTAACTTAAGCCTTGATTTTCTAATAAATCAAATGAGGATAATAAGAGTAACTGCCTCCTAGGACTGAGTGGTTAATGAGATAATCATCATTAGTGAAATAATACATAGCACGTGACACTACAGCAGTGAACAAAACAACAAAACTATCTCCTATCATGCAATTTCTATTTTTCCAACGGGGAAGGAAGCAATCGATAAACAAATAAATTAAGTGAAATTTTAAAAGTATAGTAAGTCAGATGGTATGTCTAGTTAAATTGATATTGATTGATAAGATATTGAGATCAGCTGACTTAAAGAGAACTAGAGTTATTTCCATGGATTTGATGTATAGAAGCTGGAAGAAAGATGTTCTTTCTCATTTGTTCAACTGGCATTGCCAGCAACCACATTTCGTAAGACTCCCAGGTGTGTCTACAACACAAGATAAATGAGGCCAACAAAGCGGACGCAAGGAGGAAAGAAAGAGGCAACAAGTCTCTGGCTTCTCCAACCCTGAGGCCTTGACTGCAGTTTCTTATTTCTGAAAACAGCCCCAAAATCCAAAATCCTTCCCAGGTATGTGGGTTAACAAATTCCTTTTTGTACTTAAGCTAGTTTGAACTGAATTTCTGTCACTTGCAACCAAAGGAAGCCTGACTACAATGCAATATTTCAATGCCTGACCTGGTATAGCTTGTGTATCCACTTAGGTGTTTTGCTGTGGCACCTGCTTGCTACTTTATACCTGTGGTGCTTCCCCCTTCCTACAGATTGGATTGTGTCCCCCAGAATTCAGATGTTGAAGCCCTAAGTTCCAGTGTAATGGTATTTAGAGATGGGGACTTTGGGAGATAATTTTTTTTTAAAGATTTTATTTACTTGACAGAGAGATAGACTGAGCACAAGCAGAGGGACGGGCAGATGGAGAGGGAGAAGTAGGCTCGCCGCAGAGCTGGGAGCCCGACATGGGGCTCGATCCCAGGACCCCAGGATCATGACCTGAGCTGAAGGCAGATGCTTAACCTACAGAGCCAAACCCATCCCCAGGAGTTTAGATGAGGTCATTAGGGCAAGGCCCCCATGGCTGGGTTAAAGCCCCTATAAGAGGAGATGTCTGAGGGCTTGCTCTCTCTGCTGTGTACAAGAAGCCGCAAAGAGTCAGAACTAACCATGCTGGCACCCTGATCTTGGACTTCTGGCCTCCAGAATTGTGAGAAAAAAAAATTCTATTGTTTAAACTGCCTAATCTGGGTGCCTGGGTGGCTCCAGTCAGTTGAGCGTCTGCCTTGGGCTCAATTTGTGATCCCAGGGTCCTGGGATCCAGCTCAAGTCTGAGTCCAAGTCCCAATCCGAGTCAGGGCTCCCTGCTCAGCGGGAAGTCGGCTTCTCCCTCTCCTGTAGCCCCTCCCCCTTCACTCGTGCTCTCCCACTGTCCTCTTTCTCAAATAAATAAATAAAATCTTAAATAAATAAACAAATCACCCAGTCTATGGTATTTTGTTATGGCAGCCCAGCAGACTGATGCCTCTTGAGATATGAGAGTCAGAGAGCATGATTCATCCTTCTCTCTCCTTGGCAAAGAGTGAGGTCTTATTAATTTATATTATTATTTATATATTACAGTAATAATACTAATACATTATTTATTTGTTACCAATAAACCCCCTTTTCCATGGCCTATTGTTATGTAATACCCTAAACCACATGAGTTGAAACAATGAAGATTTTTTTTTAAAGATTGTATTTATTCATGAGAGACACGCAGAGAGAGAGAGGCAGAGGGAGACACAGGCAGAGGAGAAGCAGGCTCCATGCAGGGAGCCCGATGTGGGGCTCAATCCTGGGACTCTGGGATCATGCCCTGGGCCGAAGGCAGAGGCTCAACTGCTGAGCCACCCAGGCATCCCATGATTTATGATTTCTCATGATGGCTCCATTTCTTATTGCCTTGGTGGGGTATGTGGGAGGCGGGTCACATTTGGGGCTGTCAGCTGGGGTACCTCTCTTCTTCGTGTGACCTCTCCCTGGTACTGTATTGAGCTTCCTCACAGAACTATGGTCTCAAAAAAAAAAAAAAAAAAAAAAGAACTATGGTCTCAAGCATTCCACAAGAACAAAAAATTCTACGAGGACAAAAATGGAAGCTGCAACAGGATCTCCTAACCTCAGAAGCCAAAGAGTATTGCTTCTACCACATTCCATTGGTCAAAGCAAGTAAGTCACTGACTGGGCAGCCCAGACTCAAGGAGAGGGAAAATAGACTCTACCTCTTGAGGGGAGGGAAAGTCTTATTGCAGAAGGCATGCAGGATGGGAAGACTCGTGGCCATCTTTGGAAGCAGCCTACCACATCTGCCTCAACTCAAAACAATCATTGGGATGATCTTGGACCTCCAAGCTGATGCAGTTGCTAGAATATCTCAGCTGACATGCTGGTTCCTCTAGAATACAGAACCCAAGTGAGTAAACAGAATCCTGCTGTCAACAGGCCTGTACCAGATGGCAAGTGCACAGCTGCTGCTCTCTGGGAATTCAAAACTGGAAATAAAAGCATGTCGCTCTATTCGCTAACAAGCTGCTCAAGCCTCAGCAGTTCAGCCGTTCCTGTTTTTAACTACCTGTGTCTGAAGTACTTATTAAATGAGAGGAAGACAAGTCTTTCCATTAATGTGGTTCCAACTTCAGCAGAAGGAAGATGATTAAATTCCTGTTGGCAGGGAAGCCTGAGTGGCCCAACGGCTAAGCATCTGCCTTCGGCTCAGGGTGTGATCCTAGAGTCCCGGGATCGAGTCCCACATCGGGCTCCCTGCATGGAGCCTGCTTCTCCCTCTGCCTGTGTCTCTGCCTCTCTCTCTTTCTGTCTCTCATGAATAAATAAAATATATTAAAAAAATTCCTGTTGGCAGAACTCAGCGCTTTTGGATTTGGTTTGCTAGAACATTTTTACTGTACTGCTGCCCCCTTAATGACTTTATATTGAATGAATTTATGTTTTTTTAAGATTTTATTTACTTGAGGGCAGCCTGGGTGGCTCAGCAGTTTAGCACAGCCTTCAGCTGAGAGTGTGATCCTGGAGGCCTGGGATCAAGTCCCATGTCCGGCTCCCTGCGTGAAGCCTGCTTCTCCCTCTGCCTGTGTCCCTGCCTCTCTCTCTCTCTCTCTCTCTCTGTGTGTGTGTGTCTCTATGAATAAATAAATAAAATACTTTTTTAAAAAAAGATTTTTTTTTATTTGAGAGACAGAGACACAGAGAGCATGAGCCAGGGCAAGGGGCAGAGAGAGAGGGAAAGCAGGGTTCAGTCCCAGGACTCTGGGATCATGACCTGAGCTGAAGGCAGGACACTTAACGACTAAGCCACCCAGGTGCCCCTGAGTCAGCATATTTCTTGTTTCTAAACTATCAGAGTTGGGATGCCTGGGTGGCTCAGCGGTTAAGCGTTTGCCTTCAGCCGGGGGTGTGATCCTGGAGTCCCAGGATCGAGTCCCACATCGGGCTCCCTGGGTGGAGCCTGCGTCTCCCGCTGGCTGTGTCTTTGCCTCTCTCTCTCTCTGTGTCTCTCATGACTAAATAAGTAAAATCTTAAAAAAAAAAAAAAAACAACTATCAGAGTCTGAACATGGTATGATAACTAAAAGCACAGGTTCTGTATCAGGCTGTCTGGGGTCACATCTCACCATTGTCATCACAGCTATGGGACTTCAAGCAGGTATCTGACCTTTTTGAACCATAGAACATCTTGGACATAATATAACCTTAACTCACGTTGCCATGAGCACTAATCGAAATGATGCTTGGAATACATTTAGAGTGCCTGCACGCAGCGTGCACTGATAAATACTAGCTGGTGCTGAGTTTTCATTCTCTAAGGGAGAGAGAATCTCCCTCCTGTCACTAAGGGAATCTGCTTTGTTTAACTCAGTGGTTTCCCAGAATTATTCAACCACAGAGCCCCTTTTTCTTTTTCTTTTTAGAGCCCCCTTTTCAAGAAGCACTTATATGAAAGAAAACATTTTGGGAAACAGGGTGCAGATGGAGACAGCAAAGTCCAAACCCGATAGGTCAACAGCTTCTTATTTCCTCTCTCTCGCTTATCCTACAATCTTTCCCCTAGACATGTTATTGTGTGTTTTTTTTTCTTTTAGGATTTTATTTTTTAAAAGATTCTATTTATTTATTCATGAGAGACACACAAAGAGAGAGAGAGAGAGGAGAGAGAGAGGCAGAGACACAGGCAGAGGGAGAAGCAGGCTCCATGCAGGGAGTCTGACATGGGACTCGATCCTGGATCTCCAGGATCACGCCCTGCGCTGAAGGCGGCGCTAAACCGCTGAGCCACCCGGGGAAGCCCCTAGGATTTTATTTTTAAATAATCTCTACACCCAACATGGGGCTCACACTCATGACCCCAAGACCAAGAGTTGCATACTCCACCCACTGACTGAGCTAGCTGGGTGCTCCTATTGTGATCTTTTTAAGCTTTTAATTTAAAAAAAAAAATTTAATGAGAGACAGAGTGAGCATGAGCAGGGGGAAGGTTAGAGGGAGAGGGAGAAGCAGGCTCCCCATGGAGCAGGGGGCCTGATGCAGGACTCAGTCCCAGGACTCTGGGATCACAACTTGAGCTGCAGGAAGATGCTTAACTGAGCCACCCAGGCATCCCTGCTTTTAATTTTTTTTTTCCTGCTTTTAATTTTTATATAATTCCAAACTTACAGAAAAAGTTTAAGATTTCCAAAGTTTAATGTATTTCCAAAGAACAAGCACATTCTCTTACTTAATCAAGTAGTTCAGTTATCAAGTTACCATTTTGATATTTTATTTTTAAAGATTTATCTATTTATTTGAGAAAGAGTGTAGGGGAGAGGGGTGGAGTCAGAGGAAGAGAGAATACTGAAGCAGATCCCTGCTGAGCACAGAGCTTGACACCTGACTCCAGAACCCTGAGGTCAGACCTGAGCTGAAACAAAGGGTTGGATGCTCAACCAACTGTGCTGCCCAGGCAAACTTTTTTTTTTTTTAATTTTATTTATGATAGTCACACAGAATGAGAGAGAGAGGCAGAGACACAGGCAGAGGGAGAAGCAGGCTCCATGCACCGGGAGCCCGACGTGGGATTCGATCCCAGGTCCCCAGGATCGCGCCCTGGACCAAAGGCAGGCACTAAACCGCTGCGCCACCCAGGGATCCCCCAAACTTTTTTTTTTAAAGTAGGCTCCACACCCAATTCGGGGCTTGAACTCATGACCCCGAGATCAAGACTTACGTGTTCTACTGCCTGAGCCAGCCAGGTGCCCTACACATTTGCTCTTTTAAAACACTAAATCAGGGGTGCCTGGGTGGCTCAGTTGATAGAGCTTCTGACTTGTGATCTCAGGGTGGTGAGTTCAAGCCCATACTGAGCATGGGGCCTACTTAATAAATGAAACAGTAAATCAGATCTCATCATTTCCTTGATTAAAACTTTCCGATGGGGCAGCCCCGGTGGCTCAACAGTTTAGCGCCGCCTTCAGCCCAGGGCGTGATCCTGGAGACCTGGGATTGAGTCTCACATCAAGCTCCCTGCATGGAGCCTGCTTCTCCCTCTGCCTGTGTCTCTGCCCCTCTCTCTCTCTGTGTCTTTCATGAATAAATAAATAAAATCTTAAAAAAAAAAAAAAAAAAAAAACTTTCCAATGACTTCTCATTTCACATACAATAAAATTAGAGAAAAAAAATTAGGTCCTTCCTGTGGCTCATAAGGCATACCTCTCATCCTCTACCTGTGTTCCAACTTCTACCATGTTGGGTCTCTTAAATTAGCCAAGGTGGTTCACATACTGAGTACTTCTCACTCTACTCTTGCCCTACAAATCTTTACATGGTTGGCTGCTTCTTGTCATCCACCTCAGAGGGATCTTCACTGACCACCCGATTAAAAATAGGCCCATCTCCCACCTCCAGCATTTTGCGTCATATGTCATCTTGGTTTTTTGTTGTTGTTGTTGTTGTTTATTGAGGGAGAGAAAAAGGAGGGGGGAGGTGCAGAGCAAGAGGGAGAGAGAAATAATCTTAAGAAGCCTCCATGCGGGTATCCCTGGGTGGCGCAGCGGTTTGGCGCCTGCCTTTGGCCCAGGGCGCGATCCTGGAGACCCGGGATCGAATCCCACGTCGGGCTCCCAGTGCATGGAGCCTGCTTCTCCCTCTGCCTGTGTCTCTGCCTTTCTCTCTCTCTCTCTCTCTCTGTGTGACTATCATAAATAAATAAATTAATTAATTAATTAAAAAAAAGAAGCCTCCATGCCCAGTAAGGAGCCCGATACAGGGCTTAATCACACAACCCCGAGATGATGACCTGAGCCAAAATCAAGAGTCAGACACCCAACTGACTGAGCCACCCAGGTACCCCTGTCACTTTGTTTTATATAGAGCACTTACTACCATTATGCTGTGTGTTATTTCAGACTTCCTTATCAATTGCCTATCTTCCCCCTAGACTAGCATGGCTTTCTCTATTTTGTTCACTACTATACCGGTGCCAGGAATAGCACCTGGCATGTAGTAGGTCTTCAATAAACTGCCTGAGTGAACATCAGAACAAATACATAACATGTCAAGGATTTCCAGGCAGGGTCTGGCTCTGCGGTGCAGGAATGCCCAAAGCAGCAGAGCCCCACCTCTTATAGCACTGCAGCTCTTCCTGCACCACCATTAGCTGGGACTTGAGTTTGTTGCGCTCCTGGAGCACGTCCCTCAGCTCCTGTAGAGTGAAGCGTGGTCGGTTGGGATCTGTCAGGTCGACCACCATTTTGTCTGGTCCCAGGTTTACCTGTAAAAAAAGATGTTGGTCGCTTATACGGTTTCCCTTGTGAAGATGGACTGTTCACCCCAGAAAGGAAAATTCTGTTTTATTACTCCCAGGAACCCTATCAGCTGAGACACAGCCTGCTGGAAGCATCTGGTTAATGTGAAAGAAACAAAAGTTCTAATACTGTTCTCCAAGAAAAGAACCACAGCTCCTTGGAGAATGGCTGATTCCAGGTCTGGAATCAGGGAAAGCACGAGATGAACCTGGAGCCTTTCCTTGTGTAAGGAATGGAGACACCTCAAAATGACAGTTTGAAGGAGCTCCCGCTGGCCAGACTGAGATACTCAATTTGAGCATAAAAGTGAATAATTACAGGAATGGACAATAACACTCCACATAAAAGGAGAATTCAGGAGTTCATACTTAAAATTTAAAATTTTAAATTAATTAATTAATTAATGGGGATGTGATGGTTCATTTTATGCATCTACCTGACCGTTCTAAGGGATGCCCAGATACCTGGTTAAATGTTATTTCTTGGTGTGTCTGTGAAGGTGTTTCTGGAAGACGTTAATTAGCATTTGGATTGATGCAGGGAGTAAAGCAGATGGCCCCCCTGATGGGTGGGCGGGCATCATCCAATCCACCAAGGGCCCCAATAGAACAAAAGGTGGAAAAAGGGTGAATTCTAGGGGGACAGCCTCCTTCTCCTGCCCTCAGACTTTGACACTTTTGGTTCCAGACCAGGACTTAACCATCAGCTCCCCAGATCACAGACTTCCTGGTTCTCCAGCTTGCAGCCTGCAGATTACAAGACTTCTCAGCCTCCATAACTTCATGAGCCAATTCCTCAAATAACTATCCTCTTTATATCATAGCTATATCCCCTAGTGGTTCTGTTTCTCTGGAGAACTCTGATTAATACAGGGAAGGGGGATCCCTGGGTGGCTCAGCGGTTTGGCGCCTGCCTTTGGCCCAGGGCGCGATCCTGGAGACCCGGGATCGAATCCCACATCGGGCTCCCGGTGCATGGAGCCTGCTTCTCCCTCTGCCTGTGTCTCTGCCTCTCTCTTTCTCTGTGTGACTATCATAAATAAATAAAATAAAAATTAAAAAAAAAAATACAGGGAAGGAATGGGCAGCCCTGGTGGCTCAGAGGTTTAGCACCGCCTTGGGTCCAGGGCCTGATCCTGGAGACCCGGGATCGAATCCCACGTCAGGCTCCCTGCACCGAGCCTGCTTCTCCCTCTGCCTGTGTCTGTGCCTTCTCTCTCTCTCTGTCTCATGAATAAATAAATAAAATCTTTAAAAAAAAATACAGGGAAGGAAATGGGGAATTTATAGCAAAAGGCCAATTAATGGATGTAGAAGATGAGAAAGTTGAAAAGCTCATCCTTTTGGGGCACGTGGCTGACTCAGTCGGTAGAGCATGAGACTCTTGATCTTGGGGTTGTAAGTTCAAGCCCCATGTTAAGTGTAGAGATTACTTAAAAATAAAGTCATTCATTCATTCAAGAGAGCAGAGAGCACAAGTGGGGAGTTGAGGGAGGAAAGAGGAAGGGGGAGAAGCAGACTCCTCGCCAAGCAGGGAGCCTGATGTGGGACTTGATCCAGGACCCCGAGATCATGACTTGAGTTGAAGGCAGATGCTTAACCGATGGAGCCACCCAGGCGCCCCAAAAATAAAATCTTTATCCCCCCCAAAAATCATCCTTTTTTTAACCAACTTAGTAATAATTGATTCAGCCAGGATTAATGAATGGATCTAAACCTTTTGGGTAAAAGCTTGTTGGGGGAAAGAATATTTTGCAGTTTCAAAGTATCTTCCCACAACACTTATGAATGACAAAGGAGAATAAAGGCACCTATACAGTGCAGAAATCTAGCAGACACCACATTAGCTAAGTGATCAAGTTAACAACACCAATAATGGCAAAGTGAGTCAAATGTCTCCTGATACAATGCACTGACTAGGACACAGAATCCCTTCAATGGTATTCCTGAAAAAAAAAAAAATTTTTTTTTTTAAATGGTATTCCTGCTATACATGTATCACTTGAATTTACCCATAACACATTGGAACAAACCCAAATTGAAGGACATTCTACAAACCAACAGATACATAATCATCAAAAATCTCAGGGTCATAAAAGACAAGGAAAAGCTGAGGAACTGTTCTAGATTCAAGGCAACTAAAGACATGTGTCAACCAAAAGTACTGTGTAGGGATGCCTAGGTGACTCAGCAGTTTGGCCCCTGCCTTCAGCCCAGGGCAAGATCCTGGGATCCCAGGATTGGGTCCCATGTCGGGTTCCTTGCATGGAGCCTGCTTCTCCCTCTTCCTGCATCTCTGGCTTTCTCTCTGTATCTCTTATGAATGAATAAATAAAATCTTTAATACAAAACAAAAGTACTGCGTAACCCTGGACCGGATCTTGCACCAGAAAAAAGATGCTGTAAAGGATATTATTGTGAATTTTGAATAGGGATAGTATATTAGGTCTTTGTATTCTTTTTTTTTTAATTATTTATTTATTTATGATAGTCACAGAGAGAGAGAGAGAGAGAGAGAGAGAGAGAGAGAGAGGCAGAGACATAGGCAGAGGGAGAAGCAGGCTCCATGCACCGGGAGCCCGACGTGGGATTTGATCCCAGGTCTCCAGGATTGCGCCCTGGGCCAAAGGCAGGCGCCAAACTGCTGCGCCACCCAGGGATCCCAGGTCTTTGTATTCTATTCACCTTTTTCTGCTAAATTTGATCATTTATTTGTGGCTATGCAATAATATGTCTTGTGAGATACCCACTGAAGTATTTAGGGTAAAGGGCCCTAATCTTTTACTAATCCTACAACTAACATAATGTCCCTCAAATAGTTGAGAAGGGGGCACCTGGGTGGCTCAGTGGTTGAGTGTCTGCCTTTGGCTCAGGTCATGATCCCAGGGTCTTGGGATTGAGTCCCACCTCAGGCTCCCTGCTCAGTGGGGAGTCTGCTTTTCCCTTTCCTTCTGCTGCTCCCCCTGCTTGTGCTGTCTCTCAATAAATAAAATTTTAATTTTTTTTTAATTTATTTATTTATGATAGTCACACACACAGAGAGAGAGGCAGAGACACAGGCAGAGGGAGAAGCAGGCTCCGTGCACCGGGAGCCCGATACGGGATTCGATCCCGGGTCTCCAGGATCGTGCCCTGAGCCAAAGGCAGGCGCCAAACCGCTGCGCCACCCAGGGATCCCTAAAATTTTAAAAATAAAACCAAAACAGATATTTGAGAAAAACTGAATATATAATACAGATACATATAATTTCTGTATATGCACATATATATTACATATATGTGGTTTTGTGTGTATGTATAAATACTTTGGTGTATATCTTCTTTTTTATTTAAAGGTTTTATTTATTTGAGAGAGTAAAAGAGAGCATGAGGTGAGGGGCAGAGGGAGAGGGAGAAGCAGGCTCCCTACTGAGCAGGAAGCCTGACATGGAGCTGATCCCAGGACTCCACGATCATGACCTGAGCCAAAATCAGAAACTTAACCGACTGAGCCACCCAGGTGCCCCTGGTGTATATCTTCAAAGACATACTACACATACACAAAACTGAATACAACACCTGAATCCAGGTGAAAGGTATACAGGTGTCCCTTGTGCTTTTCTTACAACTCTCCCGTAAGTTTGAAATGTTTTCAACCTAAAATTTAAGCAAAGGTTTGAAAACAACTTACATGTCCATGAATAGAAACCCAGTTAAATAAAAACTAAGGCACAACCACACTGGAACGTTCTGCAGGTGACAGAACAAGGTGCAATATAAAGAGAAACACAACAGTGACCATGTTCCTCTTGTCAGACTGACAAGGATCAGTGTTGTAAGGGCTGTGGGTAAGCAGACCCCAGCACTGATTGCCAGAAGAGTGGGTCTCCTTAACCTCTGTGAAGTGCAATTTAGCATTACATATTATCCAAATTTCAAATGCTCCTTCCCTTTAATCCAGTGAGTCTGGTCCCTCTAGGCATTCTCCCTCAGGAGCCAAATGTTAGGATTTTCTGTTAGGATTTTTTGTTGTTGTCTGGAATGTGATGGTTGCACAACATGAATGTACTTAATGACACTTAAGTATGCTCTTAAAAACGGTTAGGTGGTAAAATTTAAATGTACTTTGTCGACTTCTAACTCTGGGAAATGAACTAGGGGTGGTGGAGGGGGAGGAGGGCGGGGGGTGGGGGTGAATGGGTGACGGGCACTGAGGGGGACACTTGACGGGATGAGCACTGGGTGTTATTCTGTATGTTGGTAAATTGAACACCAATAAAAATTAATTTATTAAAAAAATAAATAAATGTACTTTGTCACAATTAAAAATAATTTAAAAAGAAAAAAAAAAAATAAGGTGTATTTTTATGAACTGCCTAGTGGCACTAAACACTCAATTCTTTCTGCCCTTTACCCCACCCCTGCTCTTAAGACTGCAATTTGGGAGGCAAATGCCATCTCATCTGAGGGTTGATAAAGCTTGTCCACTGAGCCCCATACAAAGAACTCACCCAGCCTCTGTGCAGAGTATGCTGTACACAGTCTGTGGCGGGGCTCCCTCCACATCCTTGTTCCTGGGGTTGGAGGTGGCAGGGATGAGCTCAGAATGTGAGCTGAGCCATCCTGAGCAAGTCATTTAACTTCTCTTGAGTTTCAAAAGCCAGGCTATAAATCATGATACTCAACTATCTCGTATGACAGACACGGAAGTCGAACTGTATCTACAAAGACAGTTGTTACCAGAATGAATGAGTAGGTGAAATAAGTGCATAAGGGAAGTGACCAGAAACCCTCTTTTTCCCCTGTGAATGTCAGCGACTCTCTTCCTGTTGTCCTTTCCTGGCACACTTCTCAGCTTGTGATCTTGTACTGTGGTTCTAGAGGTATGGGAGTCTTACCTCTCCCACTAGACATGAGTTTTGTGAAGGCAGGGTCCTTGACTAATGTATCACTTCAGCCCCAGGGTCCAGCACCATGCCATCACTCATCAAATGTCATTCCAACAAATAAGGTCAAATGTGTATTCCGTGTGTGGTGGGCTTTTTAAAAAAGATACTATTTATTTATTTGACAGATACAGAAATAGCAACAGAGATAGAGAGAGAGAATACAAGCAGAAGCAGGCTCTCCACTCTGTCGGGATCGATCCCAGGACCCTGAGATCAGGACCTGAGCTGAAGGCAGATGCTTAACCGACTAAGCCATCCAGGCACCCGTTCGTGTGTGGTGGTTAAGACTGGCATCTCTGAGTTTAAATCCTGCCTTCACTTCTTACATGCAGTAAGTCCTCTGGCAAATTATTTAACTGTTCTATGCATCCATTTCTGTAAAATGGATATACTAATAGTAAGAGGATTAAATGAGATAGTCCACTTAGAACAGCTTTGTTTTTTAACTGTAGCTGGAGACCCATCAATAATTCATATTGATTTAATCAATTGCGACAAGAATTTAAAAACTCACAAAAATGGAATAGGCAAGTATGATTCTGCATCATATTTAATAAGGGTGAGTTAGGATAAACTGTTTCTTAAAACTTTTGTTTCATCAATATTGGAAAGTGATATAATGGGTAATTTTATAAAATGGAGGTATAACATACATGCATTAACCTTGAGTTTATAGCTTGATGATTTTTTTAAAAATTATTTATGTATTTTTTTAATTTTTTATTTATTTATGATAGTCACACACACACAGAGAGAGAGAGAGAGAGGCAGAGACATAGGCAGACGGAGAGGCAGGCTCCATGCACCGGGAGCCCGACGTGGGATTCGATCCCGGGTCTCCAGGATCGCGCCCTGGGCCAAAGGCAGGCACCAAACCGCTGCGCCACCCAGGGATCCCATTTTTTTTAAATTTTTTATTTATTTATATTTATGTATTTTAAGTAATCTCTACCTTGAACGTGGGGCTCGAACTCATGATCCCCCAACCCCACATCAAGAGTCACATGCTTCTCTGATTCAGCCAGCCAGGTGCCCCTAGTTTGGTGACTTTTTAAAGATACTTTATTTATTTTAGAGAGAGAGCAGGGGAGGAACAGAGAGAAAGGGAGAGGGAAAAGGAGAGAATCTTCAGCAGACTTCCCACTGAGGGTGGAGCCCCCACCAGGGACTGGGTCCCAGAACCCTCAGATCATGACCTGAGCCAAAACCAAGAGTCTGGCATTTAAGCCACCGAGCCACCCAGGCACCCCTTGATGATTTTTAGCATAGGTGTACACCCATGCAATCACCCTCCTCCCACTCTCCCTCCCTGGGGTTACCATCAATCCATCTTCTATAGATACAGATTATTTTGCCTGTTCCTGGATTTCACATAAATATATAGTAGGCTCTCTTTTGTGCCTGGCTCCTGTCTCTCAGTGTAACATCTGTGAGAGTCACGCACACAATTGAGTGTATCAGCTCTGCTCTTTCTCACTGCAGTGTAAGTATTCCACTGTGTGACTATACCACAATTTTAAAATCCATTCTCCTGTTGTACTTATTACAGTTTGGCACAGTTCTGGATAAAGGTACTCTGAACATCCTTTTTTTTTTTTTTTAAGACATTACTTTTTTAATTTTATTTTTTAAAAGATTTTATTTGTTTATTTCTGAGAATACACAGAGAGGAGAGAGAAGCAGAGACACAGGCAGAGGGAGAAGCAGGCGCCATGCAAGGAGCCCGACGTGGGACTCGATGCCCGGTCTCCAGGATCAGGCCCTGGGCCGAAGGCGGCGCTAAACCGCTTGAGCCACCCGGGCTGCCCCAAAGACATACTTTTTTAAAAAAAGATTTTATTTATTTATTCACGGGAGCCGGGGTGGTGGGAGGTGGGCAGACATAGGCAGAAGGAGAAGCAGGCTCCGGTGAGGACTCGATCCCAGGATTCCGGGATCAGGGGACCCGAGCTGAAGGCAAACCCGCAACCACTGAACCACCCAGGTGTCCCTAAAATTTATTTCTTACTCTAAGTCAAGATTCTCGAAATCTGACGGAGCGTGTTGGAAATGCAGATTCTCAGGTCCCACTCCAGACCTGCTGAATGAGAAACTCTGGGGCTCGGGCCCATCAATCTGTGCTTTAACGAACACTCCTGGTGGTTTCCCTGCACGCGAAGCCTGAGAGCCGCTGCCTTAGGTCAAAAATGCTGGAGGCCCCTGATTCGGAACAAACGCAGCAAGGGCTCAGCACCTAGTAAGTGCTCAATAAACGGACCCATAAGAATGCTGCAAATCTGAGGGCTGGAGAGGCGCTGTGGCTGTTTTCGGGGGCTCGGGGCCACCGAGGGCGTCCTCCCAGCCAGCCCAGGCTGCTCCCGCCGGACCCTGGCTCCCGCACTCACCTCCTGGACGGCCGCAGAGCCCTCGGTCCGCAGCCCCTCCACCTCCTTCCGGAGGCTGTCCCTCTCCATTCTCAGCTCCTCCACCATCAGGTTGCCCTCATTCACCAGCGTCTCCAGCATCTCCAGGACGCGGACGATCTTGAACTGCAGCTGTGTCACCCGAGGGTCGCTGCCCAGGGCCATCAGCTCGCGGCCGATCACGTAGGAGATGTCATACACGTCCTCGGCGGTCAGCTGGAAGGGGCTCTTGCCCAAAGCCCCCTCGGGCCCACATTCGTCCCCTTCCTCCTCCTCTTCCTCCTCCTCCTCTCGCAAAGGGGGCTCCTCCATGGCCACCCAGACCACTCACCACAGGAGCCGCTTTCTCAGAATCTCCAAACTTACAACTTCCTCCCGGCGCAGAAAACTTTCCGCAGGGTTGAGACCCTGCCTGCTCGGGGCGGGGGATGGCCGGGAGCGGCCAATCCGCGGCCGAGGGGTGGGCCCGGGGCGCAAAGGCCGCGCTCGGAGACTCCCAGGCCCGCACGATGGGTGCGCCCGCCCCGCTGGGGCCGGCGCAGGAGGGCGGGCTCCAGGATGTTGTCTGGGTGCACGAGAAGACAACACAAAGGGAGGACGGCCAAGTAGAGGAACGGGGAGGTTAAAGGGTGACCGCGGTGACTGCGGGCTGGGAGCTGTTGCAAACCGGGTGGGGGAGGAGCGGCCACTGAGCTCCGCCCCCTGGTGACCGCGGCCGCCGCGGCCGCGTTTCCATGGAAACGGGGGCGGAGTTTCCACGGGGAGTCCCGGAACGCGGGCAGCCAGCGCGCACCACTTTTTCCTTTCTGTGCTCAAGCTTTCCAGCCATAGATTTTGCATTCTCCGTGGAGGAAGATCCGGGTCTCTGTTTGGCGGGTATTTTCAGAAGCTTGCAGCAAAACAGGACAGCGGTTGGTGTCTGCGCGTGGGAGTCAGGACACCTGGGTTGCACAAGAGTCCTGGGCCCGTTGTCGCCAGTGGCCTCTGCCTCTCAGTAAAATGGAGAATCCCTGCGCGATGCCCTTTGCGGACTCCTGGGTCTCTCTCCTTAGCGTTGCGGCCTTGACAAGTTACTTAACCCTCAGTTCCCTGCTCAGTGAATAAAAGTACCTACGTGGTAAGGTTGCTGCAGGAACATACGAGGTCATGAGATAATGCGTGTGACAAAAGCACTTCGGGAGTTACCCAAAACAGTGCTCGCTTCGGCAGCACATATTCTAAAAATGGGAGTTGTGGACTCAAAACATGTTAGCTGGTGTTCGTCATTATGTCCTCCAATAAACATGACACTTGTGCGGGAGATACGTGGCACGTGGGTTGGGGTGGAAAAAGTAATAAAACAAAAATCATTCTCTGCTTTGAAAATTAGAAAGCATTATACAGACAGGGTTAGTAAGAATATTAGCAGTGTGGATTACAAAACAGTTATTTTAGGTTTGATTCGAACTTTGTGATAGTCATAGGCAGAAAACTTAGCAGTGGAGCTTGCCCTTTTCCCGGGAATATATTGCTAGCTTTCTTTGTGGTAGATACACCTGATTTTCTCTACACTGAGGTTCTAGCATCACTATGTTGAGTGGCCAAGGATTAAAATAAGCAAAAAGCAAAGCAGGCAAACAAAATAGACACCATTTTCAGAGGGTACAATATTCTAATAATCAAAGCCAGGTTTCTGGGCTCAGTAATCCATAAATCAAGCAGATATGACTACACCTAGTCATTAAATAAGGAGATAAAATGTTAGGCTTGCCATAAATAAAATATGGTATATCCATACAATGGGATATTATTCCACCATCAAAAGAAATGAAGGAATAGAATAGAGTGCCCAGAAATTTGGTCAATTTTCAACAAGGGTGCCAAGACCATTCTTTGGGGAAAGGACAGTCTTTTCAATAAATGTTGTTAGAAAAATTGAATACCCACATGTAAAAGTATTAAGGTGGACCCTTGTCTTACACCATATATACAAATTCACTCAAAATAGATCTGAAACATAAAGCTATAAAACTCTTAGAAGAAAACATAGGAGAATAGCTTTATGTCACTGGATTTAGCAATGATTTCTTCAAAAGCACAGGCAACAAAAGAAGAAATAGATAAATGGGACTACAGCAACATTTAAAACTTGTGCAACCAAGACCACAATTAACAGAGTATAGTGAAAAGGCAACTTGCAGAATGAGTGAATATATTTGCAAGTCATATCTTTTAAGGGATTAATATCCAGAATGAATATATATATATGTGTTGTAGGAGTGTACAGTGATAAAAAAATGAGTTAAAATAAATAAATAAATAATGTACAAAGTAAAAATAGATGCAAAATCGTCAGCAGGATACTAGCAAACAATTTAGTACTACCTAAAAATTATTATATACCATGACCAAGTAGGGTTTATTCCAGGGATGCAAAGCTAGTTCAGAAGACAATCTATGAAATCCACCATGTTAACAGGATAAAGATCACACACACACACACACACACACACACACAACTATTAGAACTAATAAATAGCTTAAGGTTACAGGATACAAGATCAATATACAAAAACCTATTGTGGGATTCCAGGTGGCTCAGTTGGTTAAGTGGCTGCCTTTGGCTTGAGGTGTCTCTAGGTAATGGGATAGAGCCCAGCAACAGGATCCCTGCTCAGCAAGGAGTCTACTTCCCCCTCTGCCCTTCCTCCCCCATCCCTGCTCATGCTCTTTCTCTCTCTCTCTCTCTCAAATAAATAAATAAATAAATAAAATTTTCAAAAAGATTTTATTTATTTATTCATGAGAGACACGCAGAGAGAGGCGGAGACACAGGCAGAGGAAGAAGCAGTCTCCACCCAGGGGCCCTGATATTTTGTAGTTTTCAGTGTGCAAGTCTTGTTCTTGTTTTGTTCAATTTATTTCTAAGTATTTTATTCTTTTAAATGTCATTGTAAGTGGAATTATGTTCTTCATTTTCAGATTATCCCTTTCAAATGTATAGGAATGCAATTTTTAAAAAAATTTTTATTTATTGGGACATCTGGGTGGCTCAGCAGTTGAGCACCTGCCTTTGGCTCAAGGTGTGATCCCGGGGTCCCAGGCTCAAATACCACATCAGGCTCCCCGCAGGGAGCCTGCTTCTCCTTTTGCCTGTGTCTCTGCCTCTCTCTCCGTGTCTCTCATGAATAAAATGAAATCTTAAAATAAATACATAAATAAAATATTTTTTAAAAATCTACAAAACATCATTGAGAGGAATTAGGATGCAAATAAATGGAAAGACATCACGTGTTCATAAATTGTAATAATATGGTTAACATGGCAGTGTTCTCCATCTTACATTTCCAAATGATCTTCAGATCAGCACAATCCCTATCAAAATCTACATACAGGGATGCCTGGGTGGCTCAGCGGTTGAGCACCTGCCTTCAGCTCAGGGCATGATCCCAGAGAATCCTGGGATCGAGTCCCACATTGGGGTCCTCACAGAGAGCCTGCTTCTCCCTCTGCCTATGTTTCTGCCTCTCTCTAGGTGTCTCTCATGAATAAATAAAATCTTTTTTAAAAAAATCTGTGCACAAAACTGTTAACATAGAGGGCCTGGGAATGCTATCATTTGAAAATCCTGCTTCTGAGGTTAGCCCTTGGCTAGGATCAGGGAACTTGTGTTTGGGGAGGGTTCCTACCACCCCAACTGATAAGGGTAGATCAGTGTGCCTTAATTGTTTATGCAAATAACATAGTTTACTGGCTTTCTTCTTGGGAGTACGGAATTTTGGTATGCACTAGGCAGAAGGTACCTGCATGACAAGCTCCCTTAGAAACTTTTGGCACAGTCTTTAATGAGCTTCTCTCATAGACAACATTTCACAGATGTTATAAATCATTACTAGGAAGTTATGCTAAGTCAAGCCAGTTACAAAAGACCTCCTATTGTATGATTCCATCTACATGAGATGTCCAGAATAGGCAAATCCATAGAGACAGAGCATCTACTATATGCAAAGTCTGTAGTATTGTAGTCAAGGAGGCTGTGGAGTTAAGCAGTCTTTGACCTGAACCTCACAATTACTACTTGCTGGTACATAAATTTGATCAAGTTCCCTAATTTCCCCAAATCCAATTCTTTGGTGTAAACTGGGAAAAAGAATTCTCCAAGGGTTGTGTGAGGGTTAGATAAGATAACGCATGAAAAGTGCCTAGTCCAGGGCCTACCACATAGATGCTGTCTATAATTGGTTATTATAATAAAATGCTAATAATCTTAACTCTTAGACATCTCACAGAATTCAACAATCTGTTGAGAACTAATCATGATCCTTCTTTCTCCATTTGAAAATCATGAAAACAATTATGAGTTACAACAGAGATTTTTACAGCGTACTCCCCAGAACGCAGCATTGGGATCACCTGGAAACTTTTCAGCAATGCAAATTCTTGACCCACTGAATCAGAGACTTTGGGAGTGGGCCCCAGCAATCTGTTTCCACAGCCCTCCAGATAATTCTTTTTTTTTTTTTAAGATTTTATTTATTTATTTATTCATGAGAGACACACACACAGCAGAGACACAGGCAGAGGGAGAAGCAGGCTCCGTTCAGGGAGCCTGACATGGGACTCTATCCCAGGACTCCAGGATCAGGCCCTGGGCTGAATCAGGTGGCGCTAAACCGCTGAGCCACGCGGGCTGCCCCCTCCAGATAATTCTTCTTAATAGAAAATATAGCAAAGTATTTAAAGGGGTGGTTTCTAGACCAGATCACAAGCATTCAGATTGTGATTGACTCTGCTACTTGCAAGCTGTGTGACGTTAGGCAAGTAAATTTTGCTTCTACTCCGCAGCTCACTTTTCCCAGCTATAATACGGGGATAAGGATAAAATCTAGTTTGTGAGATTGTAGTGAAGTGCTTTAGAACAGTGTCTGTCAAAATAAATAAATAAAAACGGAGGGGGACACCTGGGTGGCTCAGTGGTTAAGCATCTGCCTTCAGCCCAGGACATGATCCTAGAGTCCCAGGATGGAGTCCCACATCCGGCTCCCTGCATGGAGCCTGCTTCTCCTCCCTCTGCCTATGTCTCTGCTTCTCTCTTTCTATGTCTCTCACGAATAAATAAATTAAATCTTAAAAAAAAAGTCTGTCACATAGTAAGTGCTCAATAGATGTTGGCTATTATTATTACCATTTATTATTTATTTATTTATTTATTTATTTATTTATTTATTTATTTATTTAGCACAAGTGGGAGGAGGGGCAGAGGCAGAGGAAGAAAGAATCTCCAGTAGACTCTGTGCTGAGCACTGACCCTAATGTGGGTCTCGATCTCACAACCAACCCTGAGGTTACTACCTGAGCCAAAATCAAGAGTTGGATGCTCAACTGACTGAGACACCCAGGTGCCCCTATGTCAGCTATTATTATTATAAGCTACTTTTATTATAAGCTTTATTACTATTTTTT